GCCGCCGCCGCCGTTGGACAGAAGGATGTGAGGCAGAGCTGAGCCGGAGCAGACGCCAGCCACAAGCCTGCTCCAGCCACAAGCCTCGCGGAGCCCGCACCGCGGCCGCCCAGCCTCCTGCCTCCCAGCCCGCTGCTCCCAGCTCCACTCCCTGGAGCATCCTCCAAGCCGTATGTTTCCGGAAAACTTGGCCGAGGGGGAGACGCAGATGAGAGGATGTGAGTGAGGCCCCAGGAGGGGCTTGGGGTTGCTTTGGGTACTGGTGACAGGGACCTGACTGTGGCCAGCAGGCAGGGGACTCGGGAGTTCTGCACCCATGGGACCTCATCCCCACCCTTTCCCCTGGGGCCCCTTCCCCCCACCTTTCTGGCTGTCAGTCTGGGGCTCTTGGGGAGGGAGGGCAGGACCTGCTTGGGGCAGGCCCGGGGGGTCTTGGTTGGTGCATGCTCAGAGGTGCTCTCTCTAGCTGGATGGGCACTGGGGGGCTTTCAGCTGGGTCTAGTTTAGGTGGTCTGCTAGGCTCGGTGAGGTCTAAAGTGCTTGTCCCTGTGCCCGGCGCTCTCAACCTGGGGAACAGGAACCAGAAGGGGGCCCTGGCCAGCGACATGAGGACACTCACCCAGCCTCTCACGTAGCCGTTAGGAAACCGGGGCCCAGAGAACAGAGTGGGTGGCTGATACCACACAGCACTTTCCAGGCAGGGCTTCTGGACAACCCTGTCCAGGGCTCCTTCTTGAGCCCCCGCTCGCTTTTGGGAAGGGCTGGGTGACCCCGTCACCCTCATGAACTCCTGCTGTTGCCGCTGCCCCAAGTGGAGTTAATTAGGACCTAAAGCCCCAGCCAGCCTCCAAACCACCTCCTTATTTATGTGTTGAATTTGGAAATGTCAACCTCTCTGGGGTCCGGCCACCCCCTGGGCCCTCACTGTTGCTACCCGCCACCGCCCCCCCCCCCAGCAGGCCCAGATGGGAGACCCGCCCTCTCCCGCCCAGGGTTCCGGCCCGACGTGTTTGCCTGGGCTCTCTTGGCCCCGGCTGGGGAAATATAAATAAACTCGCGTCCCGTCGTCCTCCGCCAGGTTCTGTGGAAGTGGCAGCTGCCGTTGGCGCAGGCGGAGGGAAAGGTCAGGGGGCCGGGTGACACTTGATCCCGTGCCCCAGCCCTCTCCTCTGCGCCTGTCCTTGAGGAACCCTGAGGAGCCCGCTGTGGAGCCACGTGGCCCTCAGCCTCCACAGGGGAGCAGGTGGTCTGTGGGGCTGGTACCACCTCCACCCCACGGGGTCCAGAGCCAGGAGAGCCGAAAACCTGGGTCCCCGCTCCCGCTCTGCCCTTGGTCTAGCCCCATAAGCTCAGGAGTGGCTGTGGCCCCTTGAGCCTGTTTTCCCCACCTGGGGTGGGGGAACAGTCACGACCTCGGCAGCAAGCACGAGACAGAACCACGTCTTTGAAGGGCTCTGCAAACTCCAGGTCCCTCAGCCATGTGATGTGGCGGTTTGTCGATGTTGTTCTTGTTGCAGTTTTATTTTCATGGGAACCTGGTACATAGCGAGCCGTGGGCACATGTTAGAATGGATGGATGGATGGATGGATGGATGAACAAATGAATGACAGAAAATGCCAACACAGACTGTTGGCCCCTCGGGGTCCTGCACCCCTGCAAAATCCCCGTCATAGCCTCCCTGCTTGCAGCTTGATTTGATTCAAGGAAACTGGCCTCAAACTTCGTTATGGGCAATCTTTCGTTAGCCGTTACAAGTCTAGCTCCGGGGCTCAGAGGCTGCCGTGTTCCCAGCAGTGTGACTCAGGCTTCATGCCGGCTGCCCTTGGGGGGCCCAGTCCTGCCCCGTGGCCCTTGGGGGTCTGGAGCCTGCCGTCTGTCCCTCCGGCAGCCCCCGGGAAGGGGCCAGCCCTACCCGCTCAGGCTGACCTGGCCGCGCAGGGCATGCCGAGTACATAGAGATGCTGCTGTGTGTGGCGTGCCCGTGTGTGCCGGGAGCTCCGGGGGCAGATGGGCTGAGACCTGGGGCCGGGCTTCCCAAGTGCGGCGCCTACGTGCAGGGCGCTGCGTTTTTGCTGAGCCTGCTGTTTACGGTGTTGAAACTAGAATGGGGTGTGGAGTGGCGGGGGGTACAGCTCTGGCCTGAGTTTGTGGGGCTGGAGAGAACTTCCTCCAACCTAGGTGGGTTTGGGGTGGAGTCTGCCAATTCCTGGGGATTTCTCCCCCTATCAGGAGTCGGTGAAGCTGTGAGAAGCTCACAGAGATGGGGGAGGGGGCTGTATCGGGGGGGCAAGTCTACTGCCAGCCCCTGAATCAGCCTGTGGGCCCCAAGCCCATGATGGCCTCGGGCTCCAGAGGTACCCCAGTTAACCTGCGGGAAGAGGCTCCTGGCTCCAGCTCACACTCACCCAGACCCCAGCCTCCCTGCCCTGCTCACACGTCCCTTCCTTTTCTCTGGCCCTGGCCCGGTGTGGCCGGAAAGCAGCCCTGTCTCCCGAGGCCTGAGGCCTCATCTGCAGCTGTGAGGGGCCGTCTGTGCCAGGCCGCCGCAGCCAGGGGAGGCGAGAGAGGTGGAAGCCTGGGCGGGTCTGGGCCCCACGCCCCCAGGATCCTCGACGGTGGCCTTGGCGGGGGCGTACCCAGGGCGAGCAGCTTCCTGCCCCCCTCGGGTCTTGGAGCCCGGGCCTTGCCCATGTAGCCTGGGCGGGGAGGGGTGGTGGCCAGGCCCCCATCCCCAGCTCTCCGGCGCCCCCCAGCCCACTGTGTCTGCTTTCGGAGCAGGGAGCCTCGTGCCTGGATTCAGAGCACTTTCGGCCTGGGGCTTCAGGCCATGGGCACAGGCCCCCTGCCGCCCCTCACCTGCTGCCCTTCCCTCCACAGGTCTTCTGGAACACGGCCGGAACTGGTCGGCCATCGCTCGGATGGTGGGCTCCAAGACCGTGTCTCAGTGTAAGAACTTCTACTTCAACTACAAGAAGAGGCAGAACCTGGATGAAATCCTGCAGCAGCACAAGCTGAAGATGGTGAGCACCACCCCCAACCCGCATCCCGCCTGCCAGGGCCTCGAGTGGGGGCTGTGCCCAGGGGCAGGTGTCCACCAGTGTGCTCGTGCTTAGTGGTACCCGAGGGCTGCCTGCAGGAGTGGATCTGTGTCGTAAATCCCCGCCCCGGGCACTGGGACGGCCCCGTGTGCCAGTCTCGCCCTCCCGGTGCCCCACCTCAGCTCCTTTGCTCTCCTGGGTCCGACACTTCTGGGCGTGTGGAGAAGGGGCATGGCGGGTCGGGCACTGCCTCACCGAGGACTGTGGCTGTCCTCACTGGAACGACGGCCCCGGGGCAGATGAACCCCAAGTGAGTGTCTCCCCGACCCTGTTTCACCTCACAGTCTTAGGGCTGCCTCGGGGAGGGAAGGACAGGTCAGGGAGCTCGCCTCGCCGAGCGTGTAAATGGTCTCTACGGAGAGGACCGCTTCCTCCACGGCTGATACTGTGAAGGGAGGACCATTTAGGGGCAGCCTCTTCCCTTCCTCCTCTCCCCCCCCTCTTTCTTTCCCTACCTCTCTCTCTCTCTCCCTCCCTGATTCCTGCCCTTTTGGACACGCTTGTGACATGCCATGCACTGTCACCATTACAGATCGGGGAAACTGAGGCTCAGCCAGGCTCATAAACAACGGACTGGGGGTTTGACCCACACCTGTGTGACCCGGGGACCCATGCTCTGGATCACCAGGCTGCATATTTTCTTGTAGATATGAAGGTATAAGAAAGGGGCACATAACTGTCCTCCCCAGGACCCTCTTGGCCACCGGCCCCCCCGCCCCTCCCCCCCGATCGGGTATAAAGTACGTGCAGCCTGTCCTGAGGGGCAGTGCTGAATGGCTCCCCCCACGCAGCCCACCGGGGTGCCCAGACTGCCGAGGTCACGCAGCGTGGCAGGCAGGCCGGGGGTAGAATCACCCCACTTGAATGGTGCTTGAGCGCTGTGCAGATTTTACGGGCAACCTCCCCGGCCGCCCTGGGTGGGATCTTCCTGAATTGAGTGTGTAAGCAGCTTCTGGCTTTTCGAGGCCAGCTGCGGAGAGAACTGCTTCCTCCACGGCTGATGCTGGGTCGTGCCCCTGTCGGCAGGGCTGAGGCCGACCCTCAGTCTGCAGCTGAGCTCTTGTCTGTCCCCCATTCCCGGTCACATGTGGTGAGGCCAGACCACCTTCTCCTTCCCTCCCTGCTGTTCAGATGGTCC